GACGTGCTGGAGCTGGTGGTGCTGCTAGATGACGTGCTTGTGCTGCTGCTGGTCGTGCTGGAACTCGAGGATGTCGTGCTGCTGGTGCTGCTGGTGGACGTGGTCGTGGACGATGTTGAAGTCGAGGATGTTGAACTCGATGATGTTGTGCTCGAGGACGTCGACGTGGAAGTCGTTGTACTCGATGACGTAGATGTAGACGACGAGGTCGTCGATGAGGTTGATGTGGAAGAGCTGGTTGTCGAGGATGTTGACGTGCTGGAGCTGGTGGTGCTGCTAGAGGATGTGCTCGTGCTGCTGCTTGTCGTGCTGGAAGTCGACGATGTTGTGGTGCTGGTGCTGCTGGTGCTTGTCGTGGTGGAGGATGTTGACGTGGACGAAGTGGAGCTCGATGACGTTGTGCTCGAGGATGTCGACGTCGAGGATGTCGTACTGGATGATGTGGATGTGGACGACGAGGTCGTCGACGAAGTGGACGTGGAAGAGGTTGTTGTCGACGACGTTGATGTGCTGGAACTTGTGGTGCTGCTTGATGACGTGCTTGTGCTACTGCTGGTCGTGCTGGATGTCGAGGATGTCGTGCTGCTTGTGCTGCTGGTGGACGTCGTGGTGGACGATGTTGAAGTCGAGGATGTGGAGCTCGATGATGTGGTGCTTGTTGATGTTGTGCTGGAAGATGTTGACGTGGAAGACGTGGTGCTGGATGACGTGCTTGTGCTACTGCTGCTCGTGCTGGAAGTCGAGGATGTCGTGCTGCTGGTGCTGCTGGTGGACGTGGTCGTGGACGATGTTGAGGTGGAGGATGTTGAACTCGATGACGTTGTGCTTGAGGACGTCGACGTGGAAGACGTGGTACTCGATGACGTGGATGTAGACGACGAGGTCGTCGAAGAGGTTGAAGTGGAAGAGCTGGTTGTCGAGGATGTTGACGTGCTGGAGCTGGTGGTGCTGCTAGAGGATGTGCTCGTGCTGCTGCTTGTCGTGCTGGAAGTCGACGATGTCGTGCTACTGGTGCTGCTGGTGGTTGTTGAGGTGGATGAGGTAGAAGATGACGATGTAGAACTGGATGATGTAGTGCTCGAGGACGTAGATGTGGAAGATGTTGTACTGGATGACGTCGACGTGGACGAAGATGTCGTGGAAGAGCTGGTTGTTGAGGAGGTTGTGGTGCTGCTTGATGACGTGCTTGTACTACTGCTGGTCGTGCTGGAAGTCGAGGACGTCGTGCTGCTGGTGCTGCTGGTGGATGTAGTGCTCGAGGATGTCGAACTCGATGACGTGGTGCTCGAGGACGTCGACGTAGAAGATGTTGTACTGGATGATGTCGATGTGGACGACGAGGTCGTCGACGAAGTGGACGTGGAAGAGCTTGTTGTCGACGAAGTTGATGTGCTGGAGCTGGTGGTGCTGCTTGATGACGTGCTTGTACTACTGCTGGTCGTGCTGGAAGTCGAGGACGTCGTGCTGCTTGTGCTGCTGGTGGATGTTGTGGTGGATGATGTTGAAGTTGACGAGGTCGAACTCGATGATGTGGTGCTCGAGGANNGACGAAGTGGACGTGGAAGAGCTTGTTGTGGACGAAGTTGATGTGCTGGAGCTGGTGGTGCTGCTAGATGATGTGCTCGTGCTACTGCTGCTCGTGCTTGAGGTCGATGATGTAGTGCTGCTGGTGCTGCTCGTGGATGTGGAAGATGTTGACGTTGAAGTTGAGGATGTGGAGCTTGTTGATGTCGTGCTCGAGGATGTCGAACTGGACGAAGTTGTGCTAGACGAGGTTGTACTTGACGAGGTTGAACTCGTGGAAGAGGTTGTGGAGGAAGAGGATGTGGAGGTTGTAGAAGATGATGAAGTAGATGATGATGAAGACGTGCTGGTAGTCGAACTGCTGCTGGACGAAGTTGATGTTGAGCTTGTGCTTGAAGATGTCGTGCTAGTAGTGGAGCTCGACGATGTGCTGGTTGAGGTCGAAGTGCTGGACGATGTGCTGGTACTGGTCGTTGAAGTCGTGCTGGACGAGCTCGTCGATGTTGAAGATGTGCTTGTACTTGTTGAGGTCGACGATGACGTGGTCGTCGTGCTGGATGTTGATGTCGATGTGGAACTCGAAGATGTTGTGGAGGAGGTCGACGAGGTGCTGCTGCTGGTCGTGGTGGACGTGGTACTGGAAGACGAAGTGGAAGAAGACGAAGTGGAAGAAGACGAAGTGGTGCTCGTAGATGTGCTGGTTGTGGTACTGCTGGTGGTTGTGCTGGATGTGCTGCTTGTCGTGCTGCTTGATGTGGAGGTGGTGCTGCTGCTGGAGCTGCTCGTTGAAGTTGAAGTGGTGGACGTGGATGAAGTAGAAGATGAGGAAGACGAAGTCGTCGTCGAGGTGGTGGACGTTGATGACGTCGACGTGGATGTTGATGACGACGACGTTGTCGATGTGGAGGTGCTGCTGGTTGAAGTTGTGCTTGTGGTGCTAGATGATGTCGTAGTACTGGACGAAGAGGTGCTGGACGAAGTCGACGTTGATGTACTGGTGCTGCTCGTCGAAGAGCTACTGCTGCTTGTTGTGCTGGTCGAAGTGCTGGATGACGTGGTGCTGGTGGTCGAGCTTGATGTGCTGCTTGTCGTGCTGCTGGATGTGGAAGTGCTGCTGCTGCTGGAGCTGCTCGTTGAAGTCGAAGTGGAGGACGTAGATGAAGTAGAACTTGATGTGGACGATGTCGTCGTTGAGGAAGTTGAAGACGATGAAGTCGACGTTGATGTGCTGCTGCTTGAAGATGTGCTTGTGGTGCTAGTCGATGTTGAGGTACTGGAAGACGAAGTGCTGGACGAAGTCGAAGTTGAGGTGCTGGTGCTGCTTGTAGAAGATGTCGATGTTGAAGAACTGCTTGTTGACGTGGTGCTGCTGCTGGTCGTAGTGGATGTGGTACTGGAAGACGAAGTGGAAGAAGACGAAGAGGTGCTCGTAGATGTGCTGGTTGTGGTACTGCTGGTGGTCGTGCTGGATGTACTGCTTGTCGTGCTGCTTGATGTCGAGGTGCTGCTGCTGCTGGAGCTGCTCGTTGAAGTTGAAGTGGTGGACGTGGATGAAGTAGATGTTGATGAAGACGAAGTCGTCGTCGAGGAGGTTGATGTTGATGACGTCGACGTGGACGTTGATGACGACGACGTTGTCGATGT